CAAGGCCCTCCTTAATTTGGTCCTACCTCTCCTCTTCCACTGTTCCCTGTGAAATATCATTAAGTCATACTAGGGCCTCCCATTCCCACATCTGCATCATTGTTTACACCTTACTCTACCTAAAAGTTCCTCTTCCAACTTTTTATACATCTAACTACCATTCATCCTCCAACTCTGAACATCTCCATGAAACCTGCCCAACCACTGTAACTCACATTGACCTCTTCTTCCTCTAAAATCCTCTATTGTCTGATTTCCTCGTGGTTATAAACTGTCTTTAATTCTTCTCTCTTCAGAAAACATTGTTAATCCTTTAAGACCAAGGATGTGTCTTTTCTACAAACTTTCTATTTCCTCTACCTGGAATGTTCAGGCCACAGATCTTCACACAGCTGGCTCTTAGTATGATTTAGGGCTCAACTCAAATGTCAGCTTCTCAGAGAGGCCTTTCCTGACTACTCAATCAAAGGTTATTTTCTCATTTAACTTTATCACACTATCCTCTTTTACTCTCATCATCTCACCACTAAGCAAAATTAACTGATTCTTACACGTTTACTTATTTCTTACAAACACAACTACCATCCACATCAGGATGTAAACTCCATGAGAAAAGGGATTTAGCTTGTTTTTGTTCACTGCTGAATCTGGCACCTAAAACTGTTCCTAGCACAATGAGGTGCTAAATACATGCTTTTTGAATAAATGAATGGGTTACTGTGGCCTGTACTTTACCCATCAAAGTATTTACCATATTTTATTACATTACTTTTTTATTTGTCTATCTTTCTCAATTGATTGTAAGATCTTTGAAAGCAGGAACCGTGTCTGCCTACTCATCACTGTAATCCCAGTATCTAGCACAGTATCCACAGAGTTAGAAAATAATATAGTGAGCTATGAATGGAAAAAGGGAGGGAGGAAGGGAAGGAGGGTTAGGGAAAGAATCTGGAATAGAAGATTACCAGAGTGCAAATGGATGCTTTAGAAGATATTATTTTGTAAACTTTTGTATCATTTTATGTATATACATATATATACATATATGTATGTAAATTTATTTTACTATGGGTTATAATCCAAAGTTTTGAAGACACTATACTAAATTCCAAAGCAGTTTACAACTCAGCTACTTTATTTTTATTTTAACTGTCATCTTCTTGAGGAATGATACTCCTCTCAGAAAAATAGCTCACTGAAAACAGATAAGAAAAACTCTTCTACTATTCCTTTCTGTTATCTAACAATTTTCATATGGGTTATTTATTACTAAATCCCTAACAACTTCAAGTTGTTTGAAGATGGAGCTTCTTATCCCTTACAGTATTTAGCACAATATTAGCACACTCTGTAAGTACTGCCAGTTTCCCTCCTGAATAATTACATAAAAACTACAGGAGTTAGTCTTCTTCTACTTCATTGGCATGCCAAAAATAAGAGGGGACCAAAAAGAAAAAACAACCCTATGCACATTAAAAAACAAAAGTAAAGAAATAAATTTCAGTACACATTGTATATTAACAAGGTTTGCTGAATGCTATAATGGCAGAATCTGGAGCATGAACCATCTGGATCAAATTATGCTCTCTGAAAGAATGAGAAACAAAATAAGCCCTGCCTTTTAGAGCTAGCTGTAGATAGCACTTTTTAAACTAAAGTATTTCAAAGTAGACCCACAGGTTAAAAATTCAACACAGAGGGGTTACCCACTCCAGTAGGTACACAAGTTTTTAATTCATCTTTGTTACTGACTTATCATAAGACTACCTTCAAACATCTCTCCCATATCTCTTTCTAAAGGTTTAAAAACTAGATGCTCATCTCTTACTCATAGGAATGGATCAATAAAAGTACACTATGTATTTTGATCTTTGCGCTAATCAGCTAAAATTGAGGGTTAGGGAAATTGAGAGAATAATGTTCTTAAGATACTAAAAACAAGAAAGGCCTCTCCTGACCACTTCATCTCTTGGCTGTAGTTAAGCCAAGAGATTTGCTGTCCAGATGGCTAGACAAAACCAAATCAACTACCTGCTTACCCAGAGGACTCATCATATCCTACATTTTCACATTAATTATTCTCATTCCTTGAGAACCTACTCAAAGCAGGTTGGTCCTGTGCTAAGTGTGAGCAGGAAAGTCCCCATCTTTGAAATGTTCACAGCCTAGTAGACAAAGCAGAAACATCCAATCAACCAGTATAATTTTGAGATAATTCTATTGCTTTAACAGAGGCACGATCAACTCAAACCTTGTTCATACATGTCTCACATGGCTCTCTGTAATACGTATGTGTTGCTCTTGTTCTTCCAACTGGATTAAACCTACTCCCAAGGCAGGGACTGTCTCCTCTTATAATCTCACATAGCCAGGCAAAAAGGGCTGGGCACAAAGGAAGTATTCAACAAGTCTAATGGGAAATAACTGTTGAGAAAGAATACAAGTCCCCAGTCCTTTCCAGTCCCCATCTTGTCAGATGTCTTGGTCACCCTTCTTTGATTATTTTTTCCTATGAAGAGGAAAGGACAGTTAGTCCCTGTTCCAAACTCTCCTCTGTGAATATTCCTAGGGCATATGGCAAACGAGTATTACATATTACAAAGGACAAACTCCATGGTATTGTCTGTCTGGGATCTGGTTTTTTTCACCTCACACCCTTATCCTCACCCCACAAAAGAGATCAGGTGCCCTTGTAAGGTACTGAGTCCCTTTCTTCTTTCCTAGTTGCCCCTTGTGCCTAGGAACGGTCACCAACCCCACGGTTTTGAAATAAAAAACTGTGTTGTCAACTATGGGTATGAATCCTGATCTCATTGTCAACTAACTGGGTGACTTTGAGTCAGTCATCCAAACCGCTCTCTGAGCTTCCGTTTCTTCATCTGTAAGGTGGAGCTAATAATTCCTACCTCAGAGGCTTCTAAGTGAGCAATAAAACAGTGCCTGGAAGGTGCTCGGCGCACACAGTGACTGCTTGATACAGCGTAGGTGTTATTCGTTTGGAAAGGCGGCAGGATGACAAAGCCGACAGACTGAGGCAGAAGGCCAAGATAACTGACAGGGCGGGAGGCCGTGGCGGGAAAGGCAGGAACGGCGGGAAGCCGCGGAGGCCGGGGGGCTGGGTAGTAACTCCCACGGCTGCAGCCCGAGTCCCCTCACCCCCTCAACCTCCTCACCCCCTTCCTCACCCACCTCGCCGCCCCCTCCCGGGCCCCTCACCTCGCTTGATCACATGCATCGCGGCTAGCAGCTGAAGCACTGAGGGATTCGAGACGGGGCTGTAGCTCTGAGGGCCGGCGGGATGGAGAAGGTAGCAGAGTGCGAAGGTCTGGGCTCCAGGGGCTGCTCGGGTGCAGGGACTGGAGTTGGGGCCAGACAACACTCTCCTCACCAGAGCACTGGCGCGACAATCCAAATCCCCTTCCCGCGCCCGCCACCGTGACGCACTGAGTAGCGTTCTGACGTTACTCGACGCTGCCCCGCACGCCCGGGGGTAGGTTGGGCAGGATTAGTAGAAAGTCAGCCTCGCCTTTTAACCGCCATGTTGAATTTGGGCAAGGCCCAGGAAAATGCGCCTCTAACCCACTGGGCATGTGTGGACATGCCCAGCGAGGAAGCTGTTCGCCTGCCGCCATGTTGCATGTGGGCAAGGGCGAATCCCGTGGCCTCGGGCGCTGGCGTAGCACGCAGAGCCCGCTAGGTCAGGCTCCGCCCCTCTCCCTTGCGCGCCCCCGCCAGTCTAGACGGTTCGTTTATTTTTGAAATAACAAGACCTAACCATCTAGAACAATTTTTTTTTTTACATTATAATAACCCTGAAATTGCTGTACCATATGGGCTCTAGCCTAGGCTCCACAGCCGGGGGCAACTAGGATCCTCAGGGCTCTTAGGTCGGCACTGAGAAGTCTTGCACTAGGTTAAACTAATTTGGAAGAAAGCAATGCACGGCCAATGGCGTTTGGATTTTATCCTGAATGAAATCGGAGCCCTGGGAGAGTTTTAAGCCGGGCAGAACCAGGACCCATTTGTTTTTTAGGTTCTCCAGTGGATGGTGGCAAAGACAGTTTCGACAATAAAGCAGTTGGTCATCATCTTGTGGAGGTAGGATGGGCTTGGTATCTAAATGTGGAGTAGGAATAGATGAGAGCCCTAATATATAAGGCTAGTGTAGAAGCTTCTGATTTGAGCTACACAAACTGATCTTTATGAAATTTCATCTATGGCATTCTCTCCCTTAAAAACTTTCAAAACCTTTCATTGGTTTCTCCCTGCCCCCAAGAAGCTGTCCAGGCTCCCTGTGAAGTATAATAATTCTAAAAGTCATAGAAGGTCATAGGTGAAGCTATAGGATAGATAGGGTCGAGATGGCCTAGAAATACAGTTGCCTGATTTAGCAAATAAAATGTGTCCTAGATATTGCATGAGATTATACTAAAAAATTGTTTCTTAGTTGGGAGCAATGGCTCACGCCTGTAACCCTAGCACTCTGGGAGGCCATGGCCGGGAGGATTACTCAAGGTCAGGAGTTCGAAACCAGCCTGAGCAAGAGCAAGATCCTGTCTCTACTATAAATAGAAAGAAATTAAATGGCCAACTAAAAATATATAGAGAAAAAAACATTAGCCAGGCATGGTGGCGCATGCCTGTAGTCCCGGCTACTTGGGAGGCTGAGGAAGTAGGATTACTTGAGCCCAGGAGTTTGAGGTTGCTGTGAGCTAGGCTGATGCCATGGCGCTCTAGCCAGGGCAACAGAGTGAGACTCTGTATCAAAAAAAAAAAAAAAAAAAAAAAAAAAATATATATATATATATATATTTCTCTGAAATTCAAACTTAACTGGGAATCCTGTATTTTATCTGTATTTAATCTGGTAACCCTACCCAGAGAGCTTTTGGGTATGTGCATTCAAATTTCATTTTCCCTGGGCGAGGGAAGAATATTCTCTATTAACCCCCTATCATGCCACAGAGAGCACAGAGAACACAATGAGAGTCAAAGCTAGCAGAGGTTAAAATCTCCTACATGCTTTATTGGACTTCAAAGAGTCTTATGAAATAACAAAGAAAACCCATGTGAGGGTGCCCAGGGGGTACAAGGCAGTCTACAGACTAGCACCCTCCTAAGACCAGCCCCAGGTGCACCCACCCCAGGCCCAAAATGGGATCCCAGGAAAAAGGCATGGCAGGGAGTGGGGCAGAGTGAAAATACCTTTATAGCCATAGCAAAAACAGGTAAGGGAGAGAGTTGTCTAGAGAGTAGGAAGGGTGAGGGGAAGTCGTCACACAGCCGCCTTCACCTACACCATCTTCCTTAGCCACCCCTTCCTCAAACTGGGTGTGTCTTATTTTGAGCCTCTGGCCCAGGCTATAAAGCAACATGAAAATGGCATCTGACATGGGGAGTATGCAGTGTAGGCACTTGGGAAATTCAGGAGATTTTTTTTCTTACTTTTAGCCTATTTTGTCTTTTGGTTCAGAAATATGACAACATCCTTGGCCAAAAGCTCCAGGGCTCCATGAGAGCCCTGTGTCCTGGCTATGGCTCCCCTGAGCAGGGGAACCAATTGTCCTGAGCCCTAGGAGTACTGATGCTTGAGGAGCTTTGGGGCAGCACCTCTTAGAGACAAACCCTCCTGCAGTGTGGGGGAGCAGGGGTAACAGGGAGGCAGGGGTGGGTGGGAGAAGAGAGAAAAGGTGATTGCTTTATAACCCACAGCTCTGGTATCCATTCATGCTCCAACTGAGAGAGGTCTCCTGATCTATGCCCTAGCCTGGCCTCTGTTCAAAACTCTCGTGGACTGTTCTCTGGAAATTAGCTTCACTTCCCCATGGACCCTTGGAGGCCTGAGTGAGCTCTAAGATGAGGTTCCCTCTGACCCATAATATCTCCAAAGAACAAATTCCGAAGAGTAGGCCCTAGGCCCTACACACATCTTGAGAGAACAGAACCATTGTGGGTGTGGTGGAATAGATATGAGACAGAGGTTTCAGAAGTCGTTCCTCCTATCTTCCCTGCAACTGCTAGGGGAAGTTGGGAAGTGGTGGGAGGGAGGAGCCTGAAAGCAAGAGACAGACAGAAACAAGAAACCAAACCTCAAAACTGGGACAGCAGAGACAGAAGCTGGACCCCAGATGTGGAGCTGGGAGCTGAGGGGACAGCAACTAAGACATGCACTGAAGTGGAGAGGGAGTGACAGCAGCAGCCTATGGTTGGGAGGGAGGCAGGGCAGGCAGGCCATGGTGGTCAGTTAATAAATAATGATGAAGGACCCAAGGATGAGGGAAGCAGGTATGTACAGTGTCCAGGCCTTTGGGGCCAGCCGCTCCCATGCCCTACTCTAGGGGCTAGATATCTTGATGGAAGGGAGGGAAGGGGAGGCAAAAGACCCAGAGAAGGACAAGCTGTCCCATCACTGCCACCCCCATCCTGCCTACTTCTTAAGAGGTTTCTTAAAGATTTTGAGGGGAAACTTCTTCCGGCCTGGGCTGGAGTCTGTCTCCTCGCCAATAGAACCATTATCCTCCTCAGCCACAGCCTTCTTGCCAGCCAGGTGGGGAATACGTGTGTTTCTGCTGGCTTGCAGGGCTCGGCTGTCCCCAACTGGGGATGGCGTGTCTGGGTCTGGAGAACTGGGGCTGTGAGAACGGGAAGAATCCAGAGGTGGAGAGCCACCAGGTGGGGCTGAGGGGCTCAGCTCCATCAGGCTATGGGCCTTGTCCAGCCCATGGTTCAACGCCAGTACTGACTTCTTGGCCAGGGCAGGGCTGTCAGGTAGTTTCTCCACCAGAGATCCTGGGTGGACCCCCTCAATCAACCGGTGGCTGCCATTGGAAGTCATGGTATTAAGAGGCTCATCTGCAGCACGGCCCATCTGAGGAGGTTTGGGGGTCATCCGCTGGCGGTCACTCATGTGGAGGGAGGACTCCGAATCGGAATGGGTCAAATCCCTGTAAGACATAGGGCAGAGAGGAAGAAAGGAACATATACAGGATAGGGATACGGGAAAAGTTGAAAAGGAGAGAGGATCCACATGAGAAGATGGACAGGATAGGAAAACGGGGATAGACAGCATGGCGGGAGAGAAATAGGATGAACAGGCAAGTGGGAAGGAGAGAGGAATAAGGAATAGAAGGAAGTTGAGTAGGCCATAAGCACAGGATAAAAGAGGAGGCAGGAATAGGAATTGGGGATAGATTGAAGAAGAGACAGGGAGAGGAGAGTAGAATTGTAGAGGAAGAAAAGCAAAAGGAAAAGCCAGTAGAAATAAGAAAGACAAGGGGATAAAGAAGAAAGAAGGGGAAAAGTGATGGGGAGAGAAGAGACAGACAAGAAACAAAAACAAATGTCATCATACCATCATATGTCTGTCAAAGGGCTTTCCAATGCCTGGGCCCCACCACTGCTAAATACTCAGGCTCTGAATTGGTACAACGATAGGTTTAAATTCCACAGGCATCTTCCACAGTAAAATCTATGCTTTCCCATAGCTGGCTAGATTTCTTAGGACTCAACCCTAAGCTAATACAGAACCTACATACTGTTCTGAGTCACCATTTTCCATGCCTTCCTCTCCCACTTACACCCTGAGATACATCCAGTCTGGGCCAGGCCCCAAGGGAACAGGGCACATGCAGTCAGTGGACCTGACCCAGGCTGGGGAGGTGAAGTTACAACAGCCTTGCAAACAATCCCTCACCCACCCAAAAGACCAGGATGCTGCCTCTTCTAACCCTCTCACAGGATTCAAACGAGGTCACAGACAAGTACTGCAGAGTTCAAACCATAGTCTGTGGTGACAGCAGGAAGGGCGGGGTTTCTTTCAGAGCTCTGATGACAGGGAGAGCTGTCCCTGTGTAGGGAGGCAAAGGGAAGACAGCATGCTGGCCTTGAAGGAGTACTGGTTCAGAAGAGCTCTGTATTCTTCTGTGTGATCTTGGACAAGTCATCTAACCTTGCTGGTCCTTAATTTTGGCCCAATGAAGATAATACCAATTCAGTGATCTTACAAGACTGGAGGATCAAATATGTTGGCAAAGCACTTGGAAATGTAGAAAGTATTGTGGGAATGAAGATGATGAGGCCAGCCAAGCTGGAAGGCCCATTTGGGAGCCAGTCACAAGAGGCTTCTTTGCAAGGCTGAGTTAAGGAGACATGCCACCGCACACTGAACATGCACACACACAGGCTAGTCCAGGAACCTGAGACTCTTTAAGGAAGGGGCTGGCTATCCCTATGTAGACCAAGAACCAATTCCGGATGATACTCCTCCTGCCTCTACAAACAAAAAGGTAGATATGGGGTCCCCTGCTAGTCCTGAACCCTCCCTCTGCTTTCTCAGAGGCCTGAGAACCCACCGTGAAGGCAGAGGAAAGGGCTAAGGGAAATATTTAAATGTCAATCAGGAAGTGCCATGAGTGAGAATGGAAAGCACTACAGGACCTAGAAAAAAGGCTGAGGTCCAGAAATTAGAAAGGGCACCAGGCTGCTGAAATAGGCAAAAGCTCATAGTTACTCATAGGTTCAGTTCTCCATAGGAAACAACTAAGCAGCCACCCTATGGGCCAGTACCTTCCTGGACTGGGGAAAGCAGAGAACAAGTCTAGCTCTAGCTTCCATTCTATAAATACTGTTTCAGCTACATACTCTAGTGTGTATAGATATTTGGTCTCATATTTGGTTTTATATATCTGACACTGTCTTTACGTCTATCTAAACATGTCCTGGTTTCTCTAAGCCCCAAGATGATCCTCTCCATATTCTACCTTCTCCACACACATATAAACTGAGAAAGGTGCAACCACACGGATAAAAGGGACCCTCTCAGCTGAGGAGATGAGGATCTAGGAGCCTACCTTTCTAACACCAAGGAAGAGAAGTCAAGAGGTTGGGGTCCTCCTAGCCTCACTTCTCCTGGCCCAAGATCCATCTGGTCTTGATTACCATCCTTCTATGCCTCCCTCATCAACTAAAAGCTGAGACTGTCAAAGAAAGATAATTACCTGAGAGCAAACCAGGGGAGATATAGGAAGGAAAAGGTCCTCAGAGGCAGGCTCAACTTCCCTTCCCAAATCATTGAGACCAATCAGGCCATGGGTCCCTCCCCAAAGGCTGGGCTGCCTTAGACTCCCACCAAGCTACTGACCTTACTAGAGAGCCTGTTTGCCTTTAGAGACGATCCTCTGGTGCATGGTGCAAAAGAAAATTAAGTAGTGAACAGGCTAGGTGGATGCAGGTACCTCCCACCCTTCCTTCCCACAGCCCTCAGCTTAGGCCTTGGAACAGGAGATTCACAGCATCCCCTATTTTCCCAACCCAATTCACTCCTTTCCATCTGCATTGGAAAAGACAATCTCCCTTCCTAAACTTTTGGATGAAAATGAAAATGAGAGTGAAGATGAGCAGCTCTGCTGATTAATCCTAGGAAGGGCAGTCCCTTTGTGGAAGAGACAGGAAAAGCCCTCAAGGATAACTATCCAAAGGCTTAAAGAGCAGGGCTAGAGAAATGGGTATCCAAAATGAAGTAGAACCAAAAGGAAGCAACAGAGTAAGCAGGCTACAGCCAAGACCAGGTCTGGGCCATGGCCACCACTTCAGAGATGAGTACTTCCAGAAGGGAAGGACTATCTGAGGGTCCCCTAAGCTTGTTCCAGGCAAGGTAATGGCTACTGCCTCTGACCCAAGCTTATTGTCTTGGGTATTAGTCCCTACAGCTGCCAGATCAGGCTGTGGGAGAAAGCCTTCACCAGTTCTTTTCCAGTACACTTATTGAGACCACTGGAAGGACAAAAATATCCAACAGAGTGTCCTGGAATGAAAAGCCAAGTTCTAGTTTGTGCTCTGCTTCTAATTAGCTGTGGGACCTGGAGGAAATTACTTAACCTTTCAGAACCTTAACTTCCTACTCTGAAAATGAGTACTTTAATACCTGACCCATCTATAAACTTTTCTTGTCCCAAACTCCCAAACCTGTGTCCCCTCTTCTGTTCCCTAATTCCTTGAAGGATACTATATCCATTCAGTCACTCAAGCTAGAAACCTGTGTGTCATACTAGATTCCTCCCTTTCCTTCACCCTCACAGCCAGTTACCAAATTAATCATCTCCTTTTATCCCAAGACCTCATTACCTCCTCCAGTGGTCCACAGCAATAACTTCCAAATTGCTGTAGTCTTCCCCTTCCTTCATATAGACCACTAAAATATTATTTCTAAAATGCAAATCAGACCAATTCACTTTGTTTTACAAACGCTTTTGCAGTTCTCCGTCTCCTAAAGGATAAAAGCTAAAACCCTTCACCTTTCAGAGCCCTTCATCATTCTAGCCTCATCTGCTTCTCCTTCCCACCAACACATATCCAATGCTCTAATCACAAATATATCATATTCTCTTGAACTTCCATGCTTCTGCACCTAATGTTTCCTCTGCTTAGAATACCCATTTTCCTTTCCCTTCACACAGGATGTTAGCACAAGTATCGTCTCTTTTGTGAAGCATTCCATCCAGGTACACATTGTTAGTCACTCCTTCCACAACACCCCATAGCACTTTACAAATTGTTCCATGATTATTTATGTATCTCTCCCAGACTAGACTGCAGTTCTTGATGACTGAGATTGTATCTTTTCATCTGTGAATCCACATGCCCAGCAGTCTGGCACAGAGTAGACATCAATAAATGTTTGTTGATGGAGTAAGGAAGTGGGGGCCCCACTGAGATAACAAATGTGGAAAAGCATAGTTTAGGCAAAAGTGCTATAGGATCATGAGGGAAGAGGGTTGTTACTCATTTTAAGAGTCAGCAAACCCCAAACATAGAAGGGAAGAAAGATGTGGAGACACAGGCTGACCTTAAAAAGGAATCCCAAAGCTGGGAAAGGACAAGATGAGAAGATTCCCCACCATACACACACCCCAAGCAGCAGCCAGCAGGCAGAGAACAAGGTAAAAGCAAAAGGGAAGGAAGGGGAGAAAGAAAGATAAGAGAGAGACAGCTGATACCCCAAGCTCTCTGAATGCCCAGGCATCACTGTGGTGCTGTCAGAAGGGGGTGGGTCAGTGTTGGGCTCCATCTGGAGGAAATAGGAAGTGCTGTGGTGGTGATAAACAGGGTGGACATGGGTGGTGGTGGTGGTGGTGGTGGAGGAGGAAGAGGAGGAGGAAGAAGAAGCAGAGGCAGATGGAGGGCTGGTCCCGTAGCCTTCAGAACTGAAAGACTGTCCAGATGAAAGGCTGCGCATTCGCCGCAGAGACACCCGGCTTGTCAAGAAGTGGCCAGCCTCTCCCTCTACCAACCTCTGAGATCCCAGGCCATGCTGTGGCTCCGTAAGGCGCTGGCGGACACTGCTCTGCAGGCTAGGGGCTGCAAGGAGAATGAAGAAAATGTGAGAAAGGCCATCCCACTTTGGCTGGCAGGCAAACGGACGCCAATGGAAAATGCCTGCTGGAGACCACTCTGGGCCCTTGATGCCCAATCTGGAGAATGGGCACCTCCTCCCAGAAACCTCCCACCAAGGGTCCTGAAAGGAAGGGAAATTGAGGATGAGATGCCTGGGTCAATTTTAGTGGCAATTCCAATGGAAGGAGACCTAAGGCCAATGTTGCTATAAAGGGAGGTGGCAAGGCAGTTAGTGGGTGGACACAGGCAGGGCACGGTAGGACAGGGGCTTGGGACAAGGTCCAGGGGAGCACTAAGAAACAGCCTTTTTGTAGAGCCAAGCTCAAGAATTAATTCACAACTCAGACAAGAACTTATACACAAATATGTTCATCATTATTAATAACTGTATGAAAAGTAAACAGTTTACTTTTTATTAATAATTGAATAAAGTAAACATAAAGGTAGAACAATGGGAAAATGATAATACAGCCAGTTTCTGGGAGACTGTAGAGCTATTAGAAATGCTTATAAAAAGACTTTAAGAACATAAAAAAATGCCTATGAAATGTTCAGGGTGGGCTGGGTATGGTGGCTCATGCCTATAATCGTAGCACTCTGGGAGGCCAAGGTCAGAGGATTGCTTGAGCTCAGGAGTTCGAGACCAGCCTGAGCAAGAGTCCCCGTCTCTACTAAAAATAGAAAAATTAGCTGGGCATCATGGCATGCACCTGTAATCCCAGTTACTCTGGAGGCTGAGGCAAGAGGATTGCCTGAGTCCAAGAGTTGGAGGTTGGAGCGAGCTACGATGATACCACTGCACTCTACCCAGGGCAACAAAGAAAGACTATCTCAAAAAAAAAGAAAGATTCTGTTTGGTTCTCTGGGATAAAAAAAAAAAAAAAAAAAAATGCTCAAAGTAGACCACAAAATTATTAATATATGTAATAGCCTTGAGCTTTACAATACAAAACACTAGAATCTGAAACTAGGACTTGTAGCTTATAGCTGTGACCTTGAGCAACTTTTCTGTATTTTAATTCCTAATTTATAAAATACTGCAGGATTGTTCTGAGACTTCAAGATAATGTCTTTAATGTACCTGACACAATTCATGGCACTGAACAAATGGTAGTAGTTATCAATATCTTAACTACATAAAAAAAATTTCATAGACAAAAGACTGAACGAGAAGGTGCTCAAATATGGTGGAACTAACCTTCTTTAATGCTAATATTTACTCTTTTTTACTTTCCAGATTTCCTCTAATAAGCAAGTAAACAACAAAGAATCAGCTCTTGAGTCACTGCTTGGAAATTGATGGCCACCATTCCCAGTCAATGGGTACATGGGCGCCATGTAACTTGGGAATGTGCTAGTGCATCCTCCTTGGGGTAACTCCCAGCTCCAACTGAAAGGGAATGAAGGCCTTTGTTTTTTCTCCTCTATGCTGATAGATGGGCTGCCCTGCTCTCTCCCTAAAGATGGGAGAAAAGAGTAGATTACACGGGTGGCAGCGGCTCTGGAGGGGCCTCCAGGGAGAAAGCACAGTTCCACAGTGATGGAGAGTTAGGGAGGCAGGGCTTCTTCAGCTTCTTCACCACTTGGTGGTGTTCAAGGAATGAAAGGGAAGCTGAAGAGGAAAAGGAAGCCTGAAATAGGGAGAGGAAGAGGGAAAAAGAAGGGGAAAACTGGTAGGAAAAGGGAGAAACATGAAAAAGAGAAAAGAGAGGGGTGATCCTTCCTTCCCTCTTTCCCACCTAGCCTAGCTGGAATAAGGGTGACCAGGACATGTGTAGCTGGGCTTAAAGGAGAAGCCTAAGCCTTCCATCACCATGGGTGTTCTCTCTCCAGCCCTGGGCTGAGCAGGCTGATTCTTCTCACCCCCGAACCCTTCCCTGTAGTTAGTAGGGACAGTGCTCAGGGATAGAAGGAGCAGGCAGGGGCATGAGGCAGGCAGGAGAAGGTGCCCATGGGGTAGGAGTGCTGGTTTAGTCCCAAAAGTCAGAAAAACAAAAGCCCCAAAGGGGCTCCTCAAACCAGGGTATTTCCAGAGGGACTGATCATCCGAGCCGGCGGATGTTGAGCAGAGAGAGCGGTCACTGAACCTACGCCCCATCAGCCAGGCAGCATCTAGGGTCAACAGCCAGGCCAAAAGGAGAAGAAAATCTGATTTACGGAGAAGCCTGACCATCAACAATATGATATGGGAAGGGCTGGGAGCAGGGGGTGGGTAGCTCAGAGCTAATGAACCCCCCCCCCCACGGTCTGGAGAACATAGGAATCTTTAGATCAGTAAGTCAGGATCAAGCTCGGCCTGTCAGTGATCCTAACCCGGTTAGGCCTTTAAAGTTCTAACAAGATATCAGATCAGGGGGAAAAAGAAGCTTAGCCAGGGGCAAAGTACTACTGACAAAGTTTACAAATAAACTCTGTCTAGAGTGGGAATCCAGGTTTATTAAAGAATCTAGCCATCCAAAAATGAGCCTCTAACCCAGCCCCAGCCTTCTGCCAACTCCCCTGTACTGGTGGGGTATGGGCCCAGGACAGTAGCTTTACCATAAGGCCTATTTACCTAAAATAGCCTCTGATGCAAAGAAAAATTTAGCTGTGGGCCAGTAAGGGAAAAGCCCCTTCATTCACTGAAAAATTCCCACAGAATATTATCTCTTTCAGCTCTGCTCTACTCAACTCTTGTCACTTGCAGGGGAGAGAAGGGAGAAGGGAGACCCAAGACACAGGGTGGGGAGGTCCGAGAATTCAGGTGGGAAGCCAGACATGCTTGTGCAGGAGATCCCTCCTGGGCAAGAATGCCTTTCCAGGTTGGAGGATTTAGAACTATATCTTTTTATGGGACTATTGCTTCATGGGGTCTCACATAGAAACACAAAGAGAAACATCATTCTATTCATCTACTTTAGCAATTAAGAATGAGGAATACAAAATGAAAATTAGTAGGTTCAATAAATAATCAAAATTAATGCCATTTTTACATTGTGAATCACTAAAGGAGATTATTTTTTATAAAGGTAGATGGAAGGGAAAGGGAGAATAAAGAGAAAAACAAAGAGTAAAGGGAAACATTTAACACAATAGACCTAGACGGGCACACAGAGCATATGACAAGGCAAAACTACTAAAGGACAACTATAAAGAAATATCCTAATACAAATTGTGCTTTATTGACCAAGGTCACAAGTTAAACTATCTTCAGATATCTGCCATATCTCCTGTTTAAGCACAACAAAGGCCACAGACTTCTCAACCCGTGCATCAAAGGTTCCTTCCCTCATCCCCACCAAAGAGGTCACCTACACTGCATGGACAAGGGAGACACAATCTCCTCATCCATGTCATCCACGTCGTCAGTCATGATGAAGTGGGCCGGGTTGGGGCGTGTACTGCCCATCCAGCTGGGGTCTATGTTGAGGGCAGCCACCAGTGAGTGGATGCCAGGATTATTGACAATCTGGAACCCACAGAGGATCTCGATCTGTTGCCAGCGGTGCAGGCGCTCCCGCAGTGCTGCTGTCACCTCACTCAGTGCTTGCCTGAAGACAGAAGAAAGAGAATTGCAGGCATGGACTGGCTGTAAGCCCAAAAAGAATGAGGCCTCTTCTTAGAGGAAAAAGTTGGGGGGATATTTGTAAATAAAAAACACAATAAACTCATAAACTTAAGAGCAGGGTAGGAACTGGATCAAGGCTGGGGCAGGAGAACAGAGCTGTCCCTCCACCAGTGAAGAAATGGAATTGGAGCTGGAGGCCCTGTACACCCTCAAATTCTGAGGATGGCCTGGACGTTGCTAGAGTGGATAACTGGCACTACTTACTTAGCCGTTAGGATTTTGTGATCTACATCATCCAGGGAAGAGCTGTGGGCCACGTGAAAGGTGCCAAAGAGTGTGTTTCTCTTCTTTTTTATCTTCTCAGCCTGCAAAGATGAAACCCTCAGCTTATAGAGAGCAGGAAACAGAGGTTGGAAGAAATGAGAAAGGCCTTCCTGTGGCTAGGTCCCCCTCCTAGCACAACTTAGGCTGCACAAGAAAAGGAAGAAGAGGAAAAGGGAAAAGGTGGGCAAGGGAAGAAAAAAAGGGAGGGGGAGAAAATAGCAGAAATGAGGGAAGAAGCAAAGGGGCCACTGATAGCACCCTAGCCCCAGCAGGACCTCTGTCTCCATGGCAGCCTGAGCTGGCCAAGCTTTCCCTCTACCTGCCTCCACTTGCTTCATCTTTCCCAGAAGACAGGTAGGAGTACCCCCACACCCTCATTCCCTCCTCCAGAAGCTTGATGATATTATCAGGAGTTGCATGTTAGGAAAAGAAACAGAACTCACCACCAGGATGTATCTTCACCCAGTGGGAAGGACAGGGAGAGGAGAGGAAGAAGGGCAGATAAAAGGGAGGAGGGTAAAAAGGAGAGAAGAGGGCAGGAGGAGGGCAGATCTCACCCCCTCCTTGGCCACCAGCAGCTGCTTCTCAGCATTTTGCTTCTTGATGTTGTAGTACTGCACCTCCACCTCATGCGTCAGCTGCAGCCACTTCTGAAGGGCCTCTGGAGCATACCATGAGCTGTGTGATTCCAGCTCCTTCTCTGCTTTCCTCAAGGCCTCCCGCACCTGCGCAGCCAAGAGGATGTGAGTCCATTGACAGCTACTGGGACCCTCTCCAACACTTCTGTATGAGGTTGCAGAATTCAGAGTTCTTATCTGCTTTACAACTCTCCCAGAAGGGAGAAAGAGTAAGAATTATCATCTGTATTTTTATACTAGGAAGCAAGCTCAGAGAAGGAAATTAGCCTACTCAAGGTCACACAGTCAATAGCATCTATCAGAACTCAAATGGAGATTTTCCTTTTTTTTCAACTCCTTTTTTTTTAATTTATTAATTTAATTATTTTCCATTCTTTTTTTTCCTCTCCTATCATCAGTAGTGACCTATCAAATGGAGACTTTTTTTGCTCCCAGACTAAAGGCATTCTTTTCCATTACATCAGCTGACTCTCCTGGTAATACAGCCAGTCTCAGCAATCTTCCTGATCTCTTCAGGAACAGGTCAGCTAGTGAATCATTCTCTTACTGACCACCTGGGTCTGTGCTTATACGTCAAGACATCACAATGTCACAAAAAAAAAAAAGAATTGGGAATTCGGAAATCTGGTTCTGGTTCCTGGTCTATCACTCAACTGGCTATGTGACCCTGTGCTTCCTAAAGCAGATCTTAATTCAGTGTGAAAAAGAAATTTCTCCTATGCAAAACCAAACTATCAGTGAAGGAGTGATATCTCAGGAGAAAGTGACTTCCCTATCACGGGAGGTATGTGAAGAGCACCTACCAGAGAGACCTGAAATATTATTGCTGCTCCAGAAGGGCATTGCCCTGAATGCTCTCCAAAGTCTTCTCTAGCCCAGACTGTGTCTATGATTCTCACTGTAAGTAGGGCAGGTAGGCTTTGAAAAGTACTCTCTACAATGTAGGAAAACAATGAGTATGCCACACCTAACATGGGCACAGCCAACAGAGGCCAACACATGAAAGGACCAATGTAAAAGCAGAAATCTCACTGACCTCTATGTACAGAGTAAACAATGAAGTAGACAGTCACAAAGCATTAAAGTGTAGAAGACCTGAAAGTATATACAGACATTATATACACTAGATTCTTTGCTAGCCCACCGAGGATATCAGCATAAGTGATCCTCCACTCCTCCACCTGGACAGTGACCTTCAGCTGGTCAGAATCCCAGAGAACAAGGATTGAGAACAGTCTCATTATCTCCCACTTTAGCTTAGAAACGAGTATCCTATAGCAAGCCTGAGGAAGATTAGACAGATTAGGAAGGCCTTAGCTAAGGACAGAACACCTTTATTCTTTTGAGAGTGCCAATCTTCACTTGGTTTATGCTCCTTGAAAAAGAAACTATACAATGGCCATTCCTGGTTTTACAGATTTTAAATGAAGAACAGATACCTTAGAGACCCATATACCAAGTCTGAAAACTTACAATCAAGTTCTACATTAAAAGCAGTTAAAGGAACAGGATACATTTAGAATATGAAAAAAGGGAATAATAAAACAAAACAAAAATAAATTAATTAATTTAAATTTTAAAAAAAAGGAACAGGATACAGTAAGAAGGGAAGAATGGATGAAGAAGAGAAAAAAGAGAGTAAATAGAGAGAAGTGTGGTAGTCAGGGAGGCATACAAAGGGGTTGGCCTACCAGGCTCAAAAACTGTTTATTTAATGAGAGAAATAATCACAAAACAGGAAATGAGGGAGATCTTGGGGGACAGACAGACACATCTTGCCACACACAAGAAATAAATGCCTGAAGGAGAAGAAGACAACAGATGGGCAAGTCAGAGTTCACTAGTCCTATTCTTTTATTCTATTGTTGTGGTTCTCAACCTTGTGACATATTGTAATCATATAAAAGAACTTTAAAAATACTGATATCTATGGCAAGAATCCCATGGAAGTGAAAAAAATAAAAATTAAAAAAAAAATACTGATACTGGACTCTAACCCAGAAATTCTGACTTCAATGATTTGAGGTATTGGCCTGGGCATTAAAAGTTTTTAAAGGCTGAGCATGGTGTCTCATGCCTGTAATCCTAGCACTCTGAGGGACCAAGTCAGGAGGATTGCTTGAGGCCAGGTTCAAGACCAGCCTGGACAATATAGCAAGACACCAGCTGCACAAAATTTAAAAATAAAAGTTTTTAGGCCAGGTACATGGCTCATGTCTGTAATCCTAGCACTTTGGGAGGCTGCGGTGGGAGAATTGCTTAAGGCCAAGGAGTTCAAGACTAGCCTAAGAAACAGTGAGACCCTGTCTCTACAAAAAACAGAAAATTTCACTGGGTATAGTAGCACATAAGTGTAGTCCCAGCTACTCAGGAGGCTGAGGCAGGAGGATTGCTTGAGCCCAGGAGTTTGAGGTTACAGTGAGCAATGATGATGCTACTGCACTCTAGCCCGGGCAACAGAGCAAGACACTGCCTCAAAAAAAAGTTTCTAAAAGCTCTCAAGGTCATTCTAATATGCAGCCAAAGATAATAAACAATGACCTATATGTTTTAAAGTGTAATCACCTGACTTCTACTTCTCAGTAGGCTGCACTAGGTCAGGGCAGAAGAACAATTCTGATCCAGCACAGTATCTGGAAAAAGCTGCATAAAGTATGAAAATTATGTTTTCAAAGATATCAGAGAGCTGCAGAAGCAATTAGGAGTAGGTCAGCAGTTCTCTAAGTGTGATCCAAGGACCCCCCCAGACCTTTCAGAGAATCCATGAGATCAACACTATTTTCATAATAATACTAAAACATTATCTAGGCTGGGCGCGGTGGCTCACGCCTATAATCCTAGCACTCTGGGAGGCCGAGGCGGGCAGATTGCTCAAGGTCAGGAGTTCAAAACCAGCCTGAGCAAGAGCGAGACCCTCCTCTACTATAAATAGAAAGAAATTAATTGGCCAACTAATATATATAGAAAAAATGAGCCGGGCATGGTGGTGCATGCCTGTAGTCCCAGTTACTCGGGAGGCTGAGGCAGCAGAATTGCTTGAGCCCAGGAGTTTGAGGTTGCTGTGAGCTAGGCTGATGCCACGGCACTCACTCTAGCCTGGGCAACAAAGTGAGACGCTGTCTCAAAAAAACAAACAAACAAACAAAAAAACATTATCTACCTTTTTTTATTTCCGTCCTCTTAAAACTGAACTGTGGAGTTCTCCAGAGGTTACATGATGCGTGAAATCATAACATATTGAAATAGACGCTAATATAAGAATCTAGCAATCTGTTAAGACAGACATTTAAAAGATTTGCAAAACTGTAAAAAGTCATGCTTTTCATTAAATTGTTTTTATTTTGGAAAATTTTGTCACTTTTCATAAAATATGTTATTTGTATTAACATATAAGGGGTTTAATATAGTTATTTTAAATGAATTAATATTTTTACATTTTCTCAGTTTTAATTTCAGATAGGATAAATATCAATAATATTGCCTCCATAAAAATGTTCTTTGAGGCCAGATACGGTGGCTCATGCCTGTGATCCTAGCAGTTTAGGAGGCTGAGGAGGGAGAATCACTTAAGGCCAAGAGGTCAAGACCAATCTGGACAATGTAATGAGACCCCATCTCTACAAAAAAAAATTTTTTTAAATGCTAGGCAAGGTGGTACACACCTGTAGTTCCAGTTACTCATCAGGTTGAGGCAGGAGGACCCTTGAACCCATGAGGTCAAGGTTACAGTGAGTTATGATCACATCACTGCACTCCAGCCTAGGCAACAGGACAAAGCCCTCTTAAAAAAAAAAAAAAAGTGTTCTTTTGAGGTCCTAAAGTTTTTAGATGAAACAGGTCCTGAGACCAAAAAGTTTGAAAACTACTGGACTAGACAGACTGAAAATCCAGAAAAGGAAAAGCCTTTCTAAGGTAAGTTGACATTTGCCAGTCATTTTCTTCCCTGGAGGCACTGATGATTCTAAATGAGAGCTGAAAAGGCTTGGCCCATGCAGAAGGACTGCACTTGGGCACAGAGAAAACAGCCTAGGATATGGCAGGACTCAATCTCTCATAGTCTTTCAGGGAGAAAGAAATCCACCAGCTCTCAATTAAAATGGCGAGGAGGGACATACCAGAGAAACTGTAAGGGCTATACCAAGTCTTACTAAAACTACAACCCAGTCCCGATGCAGGTCAATCTGATTGGCTTGAGGTGATTGGCACCTCAACCTACATACCTCACACAAGAAAGGGGGAATCTCATCTCTGATGGAAGATAAAATTATCTGGAACCTCTATTATTTTATACACAGTGTCCAGCATTAAATAAATTAGTACACTTAATAGGCAGGAAAATGTAACTAATAACAAAAGGAAAAAGAGAAGCAGTCCAATAAATGGTCTAGATTTAAGTGTTACCACAGGGACTTTAAAATAATTATGATTGATATGTTAAAGAAAATATAAAAGAAGATAGACACAACAGATAAAAAGATGGAAAAATTGGATAGGGGACCAGAATCTATAAAAGAGTAAAATGAGTATTCTATAATTGAGATATGTAAATGCTAAAAAGAATGTATTCTGCAGTTTTTAGTAAATGCTCTATATATGTCGATGAAGTCAAATTTATTAATAATGTTTTAAAATTTTTTACATCCTTACTTATATTTTTGGCTGAATATTGAGAAATGTGTATTAAAATCTCTAACTTTGATTACAAATTTGTCTATTATCCTTTTAGTATATTCAACTTTTGCTTTATATATTTTTTAACTATATAATTAGGTATATCCAAGTTAAGGGTTATTATAGATTACTACTGAATTCACCCATTTATCATTATGAAATATCCATTTTTGGGTCTAGTAATACTTTGTGACCTAAAGTATACTTTGTCTGATATTAATATATAGTTAATCCTGCTTTGTTTTGCTTAGAGTTTGTATTATACGTCTTTTCTCATCCTTTTACTTTTAACCTGTTTTGTGTCCTTATATTTAAAATGTGTCTCTTTTAAACAGGGCATATAAATTGGGTTTTGTTTTTATCCAGTCTGACAAACTTTGCATTTGAACTGAATTGTTTAGTCTTTTTAGACAAACCAAGTTTCAATAAGTTTCAAAGGACTGAAACCATATAGCGTATGTTCTCTGACCATAGTGAAATTAAACTAGAAATGAATAGAAAGATAACTAGAAAAGTCCTCAAGTGCTTGAAAATACAAGCAACATACTTCTAGATAATCATGGGCCAAAAAAGAAAACACAACAGAAATTAGAAAATCTTTTGAACTGAATGATAATGAAAATATGAAATATTAAAACTTACTAAATGTAGATAAAGCAGGGCTGAGATAGAAATTTATAACTCTAAATGCAGATATTGGAGAATATTAAAGATTTAAAGTCAATGATCTAATCTTCTGCCTCAAAAAGCTAGAAAAATAATGGCTGGGTGCAGTGGCTCATGCCTGTAATCCTAGCACTGTGGAAGGCAGAGGTGGGAGGATCACTTGAGGTCAGGAGTTCGAGGCCAGCCTGAGCAAGAGCAAGACCCCATCTCTACTAAAAATAGAAAGAAATTAGCTGGACAACTAAAAATATATATAGAAAAAATTAGCTGGGCATAGGAAGCTGAGACAAAAGGATTGCTTGAGCCCAGGAGTTCGAAGTTGCCGTGAGCTAGGCTGACACCACAGCACTCTAGCCCGGACAACAGAGCAAGACTTAGTCTCAAAAAAAAAAAGCTAGAAAAATAAGAACAAATTAAAGTCTAAAAAAGGAGGGCAGGCACAGTAGCTAATACCTGTAGTCCTAGTACTCTGGGAGGCCAAGGCAGGAGGATCACTTGAGGTCAGGAATTCGAGACCAGCCTGAACAAGAGCGAAACCCTGTCTCTAGAAAAAATTTTTAAAAATTTAGCAGGTGTGGTGGTGTGCACCTGTAGTCCCAACTACTCAGGAGGCTGAGGCAGAAGGATCACTAGAGCCCAGGAGTTTGAGGTTGCAGTGAGCTACGATGACATCACTGTACTTTAGCTGGGGCGACAGAATAAGACTCTTGTCTCAAAAAAAGAAAAAAAAAAGTACAAATCTTCTACACTAAAAAATACAAAACATTGCTGAAATTTTAAACAATCTAAATAGGTGACAGGATAAATAAATATGCTCATGGATTAGAAGAATTAGTTGGTTAAAATGTCAATGTTTCCCAGATTGATCTATAAATTTAATGCAAACACAAGAAAAATTCCAGTGTTTTTTTTTTGGAAGGAAGGAGTCTCTGATTGATAAGTTAATATGGAAATGCAAAGATTCTCAAATAGCCAAGGCCATCTTGCAGAAGAAAAAAGATGGAGAACTTGATGACACTACCAAATAATTGGGCCTATAATAAGACAATGCTGTGCAAGGATAGACAAATAGAACATAGAACAAAGATTCTTGAATAATCACCTTACATGGGAAAACAAGATCCTTGACCACATACCTCATATCACATAAAAAAATTAATTTTAAGTAAACCATATCCCTAAATGTGAAAAGTCAAGCAATAAAGGTTCTAGAAGAAAATTTAGAAAAATATCTTGGGGGTAGAGATATTAAACAGGAAACAAAAAGCACTGACCATATTTTTTAAAATAACTAAATCATTAAGTCTTCATTAAAATCAAGAACTTCTGTTTATCAAAAGACAATATTAAGAGTAAAAAAGCAGGCCACAGGCTGAGAGAAAATATTTGCAATATACATGAATATATATTGACAAAAGACTCACATACAGAGAACATATAAAGACCTCTTACAAATCAAAAAGAAAAAAACATACAGCCCAATTTTTAAAATGAGAATAGATTTTCACATCAAATGGCCAATAAATTTATGAAAAGGTATTCAATACTATTGGGGAAATGAAAATTAAAATCATGAGATACCACTACATACCTGCCAGAATGTCCAAAATTAAAATGCCTAAAAACACCAAGGTCATAGATCAACTAGAATTCTCATATATTGCTAGTGGCACTATAGATTGGTATAAACACTTTATAAAACTGGCAGCTTCTAATAAAACTAAATATATAAATGCTCCATTATATATAAGACAGAAATGAGTACTTGTTCCCACCAAAAGACATACGCAAGAAAGTTCATAGCAGTGTTATTCATAAAAGCCAAAAAAACTGCAAACAACCCAAATGTCTATCAAGAAAAGAAAGGATAAAGAAATTATAGTACCCTCATACAATGGATTATTATTCAGCAATGGAAATAAACCAAGTATCACTACATACAACACGGATGAACTTTCACAGACATAATGTTGAGTGAACAGAAACAAAACACAAAAGAGTATATATTATATAATTTCATTTATATGAAGCTCAAAATCAGGCAAAACTAATCTGGTTTAGAGGTTGTGACAGCAGGTAATTTTTAGATGAAATACTCGCAGGAGTGTAAGGAGCAACAGTGAGCTTTCTGGGGTACTGAAAAAGTTCTGTATCATGATCTGGGTGGTGGTTACACAGGTACATGCACATGTAAAAGCATGCCAACTGTATACTTAGGATTTGTATACTTTATGTAAATACCTCAATAAAAAAGAAACAAAATAACTTATCATCTGTTATCCACCGTTCTTTAAAATCACAGTTGCTGGGAGTTGGCCACCCTCCCAGTGCAAACAAGTCCCAAGGCAGGATTTTTTTGCAACTTTTCCACTACTCTTGTGAGTAAGAGTCTAGTGACTCTGGAAGATAGTCTTTGAGCCATATTTCAAAGTCCTCGCACATGAAACTTTCCAGCCAGACCCTGGGCCCCTGCCCTTTACCCACCCCTCAAGGTGACCACAAATCTGTAGATTCTCCTACCTGCTCCAACTCTTCCTCAGCATATTTTTGGCGGCTCCGCTCATTCTCAGTACCCTCCCGCAGCTCCCTCAGACGCTGGGCTTCCTGCTTGGCAAGTTTGATCTCATCACGCAGCTTCTTCTCCAGATGGACCTTCTCCACCTCCACCGTGCGGTGCTCCTCCTGGGCCTTGTGCAGCCTGGGGGGCAATGCAGGGAGCTGGAGGAGGCCAGACAAGGGAGTGCCAGCCAACATGCCATGAATCATGGCATCAAAGATGAAAATGAGAGCTCCAGCTCTCAGCATATATTCTCTCTACTCTGCTGACTGGCTCTGACCTAGCTCAGGGCCAATAGAAACTACCTAATTCTTATATTGGCCATCATTTTGCTGCCAGTAATCAAGCTGTGAGGCCAGGTTCTCAGGCATCTAAATCCCTCTTCTAAAGTAGCTCACATAGTAAAATCATAACAACTACTAGTTTACACAGTATTTCACATTTGTCCTCCTAACAAATAACAATATACCAGTATCATTATCAGCCTAGGACATGTGGATATGAAGGCTTAAAGAGGAGAAGTAACTTGAAGAACTGAAACTAGAATTCCAATCTGTGTGACTTCAAATCCCATAATTATTCCCCTTTTATTAGGGTAGCTGGAAGGTATAATAAATTTAGAATACCCTGCAAGCTAGACAAAGATCCAGGAAAACCTAATGGCTGAGATGTGACTGGGGTGGAGGCAGGGGGAGGCCAAAGGAAGATGAGAAAGGAACTATTGAGCTGGATCTCCTAAACTCCCAAGTACCTATTAGAAGCACAAAAAATGAAATTCATGTCAAAGGGGCTGGACAAGGCTCAGTAGAGTCCCCTGCTGTCCCCAGGTCGAGTTCCTTTCCTAAGTATCTTCCCTAGTGGAAAGGATCTCAAGGGTATCAATTCTAATGAAAATCTACTCTCACACCTACCCACACATTCCCTCTGTTCACTGACAAATCCTTCCATCCATCTAAACAAGCCTCCTTCCCTCCTCCCTTTTTTCCTCTATATATCTATATTAATCCATTCATTCATTCACTCACTCATTCACCAAGTTCTATCAAATGAGTACTAAATGCCAAGCCCTGTGTTAAGCCCTAAATATATAAAAATAAATCAGAAAGCTGTCCCTGCCACTAAGGAGCTAGCTCATGATCTAGCCCAAGACAAATAAACAGGTAACTGTATACACTGTAATGAGTTCTATAATAAAGAGATATATATGGTTTGGGGTGAGCCCAAAGGATGGAGTAATTAACTCTGCCTAAAAGGAGTCAGAGAAGGAGAAATTGAGACTAGACCCAGAAGAAAGAGTTAAGAGTTTGCAAATCCCTTTGGAAGACAGAAAGCACTTAGCTATTATTGTCAGGTCTTCCTACCTTAGCAGAAATCACCAAGTTACCAGGAGACCAGGATAGAAGGGGAAAAGGATGATGATGAAGAGTCAAGATATATGGCTTAGATATGATGTGTAGAAAAGAAAGGATATTTGAAAGATGCATTCAAGAAAAAAAGAAAAGAAAGAAAAAAGGATAAACTACAGAACAAGAAGTACCAAAAGAGAAGACCACTTACCACTGAGTTAATTAAGTAGATGAAACAGAAAAGATAGAAGCAAAAATCAACCTCTAAAACACTTCAATTTCAGAGTTCTCAGTGGGTGAGGCCTCAAAAGACATGGTGAAACAAGCAAGGAAGAAAAAGAAGAAATGTTAAGCTGTAAGCTTTCTGCAGACAAATTGCAGTCTTCTGACTGCTTTGCCCCTGGAGAAAAAGGGAGTTGAACCGCCTCCCAGTGAACACCAGATGGTGCTACATGCATAGCTAAAAATAAATCAGAGGCGCCATTTCCTGCCCCCACCTCCTTTGGTTGCGGAGTATCTTCCTTTTACTGTACTGGCCCCTGGCCCAACTTCATGAAATTACTACACCATAGGGATTCAATTCTTCGCTGAAATATTGTCCTCTCTGAAAACATCCTCTTCAGAAAAGCCAACACTATGATATGTCTGTCCTCTCCCTATAATAGGGGGCTCTTTTAAAGCAGAACCAAGCCTGACTCACTGCCATGGTTCCAATAAGGTCTAGTTGGGCTGGAAATCAATAACTATTGGGTGCAGAAATGAGCAAATAAATGTACAATCAAGCACTGCCCCACTCCAAGGCAACAATAATTAGCATTACAATTAGGCAGCCTGGTTGCAAGTCTTGGCTCTAAGCAGTTGTGTAACTATGAACAAGAGTTCAGCCTATTTCTTCACAGCAAAATGGGAATCAAAATTCCTGCCTGCTTCAAAGAATTATCCTGAAACCCAGTAAAATCCTAACTGGAATGTGTATAAACGTGTAACATTATATTTATTCACACAAAATATCAGGAACTCTATAAATAAAACCCTAAGGTGGCTGGCAGTGCAGGTCTATTAAAGTGAGGGACAGGGAGCATGTGGACTCTGGACTCTGGACACTGTCAGAGGTGAATATGTGTGTGCATGCATGCGAGCCTGTTTAGGGTGGGGGACTAGTCTTTGTCTCCCTTCAGTGGTCATTTAGCTTTGGAGGCCCTGGGGAACAGGGAGGGCTAGGAGCTTAGTTTTATCCCCAAACTTGGAATGTCTCCTGCTTAGATTCTTTTGCCTTTGGAATGGAAACAGTACATGTTTTTCAGACAAATGAAGTATGGGGACTGCTGGGATAGCAGCACTTAGCCCCTAACTGGCAAAGGGCCCAAGAACTAGGGGCCCAGCAGTGTAGCCAGAAATCAGCTTAGAAACCAGATTCGACTTTTCCCCTAGAAGCCCAGCCCATGGAAAGGAATCTGGTAACTGCTGCCTCAGTAAAGAGAGCACCCTGAAGGTATCAAAATTCTCAGCTCACTACTTACTGATATGTGATCCTCAGCAAAGCACTTACCCTCCCTGAGCCTTCATTTCCTCAACTCTAGAATTGGAATGATATAGGGCTAATAATAGGACCTACCTCAAAGGGTTGTGGTGATTAAAAGCAATAATGCATTTAAGTACTTAACAATACCTGGCTCATAAGAAATCCTTTCCCTCCAAAGAAAATAGTACCTAGCATTAAAAAATAACAGAAGAGACCAGGCTTCAGTTCTCTTTACATGGATTCCTGCAAAAACTTCCCAACTAGAGTCCCAAGGTTGCCAGAATCATTTTCTAAAGACAGTTTTAAATAAGCCTCCTCCTTTCTCAAAAAAAAAAAACAAACAAACAAAAAACCTGCTTTGACTCTATTGCCTTCTGCACACTACTAAACTTCTCCACTTGCATCTTAAGGTCCCAGGGATCTGGCCCCACCCCATATACTCAACCTTAATGCCCAGGACCTCCCTAGCCAGCACAGACCTGGTTCCTAGATGTCAGGAAGTACAGAGATTGACTGACTGGCACTCTCTTTTCACAGATAAATCTTCTGCCATAGTTTCTAAGTCACGTTTTTATTTCAACAGAACCCCAGACTATCAGAGTTAGAAGTCTTCTCCTAAGAGAGCTGAGTGTTCTCCCAGTTCAGCCCCTTCATATTACCAGTGAGGAAACATTGGTAATTCACTGGAAGGGAAAGAGATTTACCCAAAGTCATACAATAGTTCAGTACTTACAAAATTTAAACTCCATACAAGAAAGAACTATGGGCTCTAAGAAGAAATGCTTATGAGGTTTCTTTAGAGAACAGTATACATTGATTTATATACTAAGAGAAGCAATCCAGAGGCAAGTTGTAGGGTAAAATGACAAGCAATGGGAAGTTCAAGATCCATAGCACATTTCTCTCTCTGAAGTTCAGAGGGAGAAAAGATAGAAACAAACTTCTCCACAGGAGGAATAACTGTTCAGGACAATTGGAATAGCAGGAACCTAGGCTCCCAAAGTAGTTTTGGAAGTGCGACACATCCTGGGCAGCTATGTCAGCATAGTCTTAGGGGCCAGGTGGTTCACACTCAGGTGGAAACAAGAGGCTCCCAAGAGCAGGTGGGGCCTTACCTTTCCTGAAGGTCATGCAGGCTCTGCTCAGCTCGGTGTAACCCCTCCAAGTCCTTCATCATCTTCTTCATGTGCTCCTTGGAGTAACGGTTCTGGATATAGGCAAACCAGCAGCCGCCCACACCAATAACGATAGACACCACCAGCATGAAGTCCTTGAGGTGATTATGACGGGTCACTGCCAGAAAGGGGAGGGCATGGTGAATCAGGGTGCTAAGTCTTACAGACTCCATTTCTGGAGCCTGATATTGTTCCTGGTATACCAGATCTGGGCTCTATGCCACAGCATAAAGACTTGAAAGGGACATCATAAAGAAGAAAGGACTGCTACTGCAGCCTCGGTCTGAGTTGTGCTGGGGGCTCAGAGGAACCCCAGATGTGGGAGTCAGGGAAAGAGGAAAAAAGGGGAGTTACACCAGCACTATTGACTCTCTGTGCATAGCATGTTGCCCTCAGGTAAGGAAGGGTTGGGACTGGCAGGATCCTTGGGCTTAGTAAGGACATGAGACTGATGGAAATCCAAAAGAACACAGGTAGAGCCACTAAGTTAAATGAGGGTCTAGATACCAGGAAAAGACACAAGTTGCTAGAAACTGTATGAAGTTGAGGCCCAGTTTGACAAAACAGGTCACAATCATAGCTCCTCATTGAAAGGCTGAGCAGCAGGACATAGAGATGGTATTAGATCAAAGACAGAGTAGCATATCCTATATCCACTCTGGGCAGGGGAGTTACTTGGTATAGGGTGGTAGCCATGTACATGTTTATTCTAGGCTCTAAGAGAAAAAATTGAGGGTCCTCTAGTGGCCATCCCCTAGCCTCCAGGCAGGTGTACACTTCTAGCCATATTCCAGTCCTCCTACTCCTGTCCTTCTCGTCCCAAGAGGAAATATTTCCATAGGACAGTAAGTTGCCTTTCTTTCTGGAACATATCTGCCTCCTCCATACCCTCTACCAGAGCCTGGGTTACTCTTTGTCTCCCCTGTTTGTTAAAGACTTTTAATCTTGGTTTACTGGGGTTTCTCAACTCCAACATTCCCTTTACATTCTTACCAAAAGTCAAAGGTACCCTTGTTCAAATAAGATTCCATGCAAAGAGCACCTTCCCTCTTATTATTTCCAACACTCAAAGTACTTATGGGATATATGTGGATCGGGCCTAGCTATTTCATTTGGTCCCTAATTCTACCTTGTCCATATTGATTTGGAACCACATTCTATTATTTTACCCAACTTCATATTCTCATCCAAGTCATAAATAAAAATACTGAATAGCCAGAGCTAAAGGTAAGATCTAACAGTCACCCCCTCCCTCTGTGGTAATACTGTTTCACCTCTCAGTACCCACGGGATTTCTTCAACCAGTTTTGATTCTGCTTGAATGTACACCCATCCATGCCTCTGCCTTGTCAAATGCATAGAGCTAGAGTCCAGTTATTCTGCCAGTCACATCCATGAGCTACCAAGCTTGATGATAAGAAAATTAGTCTAATGATTTGGCTGATTTACTCTTTGTAGTTCCTAGTGATCATTACTTGACTGTAGGCCAGTGCCCAGCACAGCTTCTACCAGCATACAGAAGGCATTCAATAAAAATTTGGGAGATTGATTCTTTACTGATAAACCTCAAGTGTGATAATATCTCCTTCCCCTTAATCCATATAAGAAAGGGAGAGATAGAGAAAATATAAAATGTATCAGGCACTTCAGGCATCTATACTCGAATTTATACTCACTACTCTACAAGGTAGGATATTAGTATTCCCATTCTATAGACCGGGAAAACTGAGGCTCTGTAAGGGATACTGACTTACTAGAATTCATAAAAAGTAACAGGGCTGGATTAAAATCCAGATATGCCTGACTGCATTGTCTTTCTGCTATACCATACTTCCTTACTACAACTTTCACATGCATGCAGCAAGTATTGTTTCCGCTTTGTTACAAACATCTCGCACCATAACGATGTCTATATTGCCCTGATCTAGCTTGAATGTGACTCTAAGAGTTTCAAGGCCTAAGTTTCCCCCCAAACAATATCCTGAAAGCTGACAGTAGCATTGTCATCAGAATAGTGAAGACCCAAAGGCCAAATGGCTAAGCCTAAGGTTAAATATAAGGCCTCATGTAGAGAAATTCTTGTGCCATCAAAAGAAGCATCCAACACTGAAGTGTTAGGAGGCCTGAGATCTATGCTTGCCTCTACCCCAATCTGTTATGAAATTCACTTCCCCTATCTAGACCTCAGCTTCCTTAGCTATAAAATGCATTATCACAGAATAACTAAAGAGATCAAATACATGGGTGTAAATGACAGGGCTTTGAGGCATCTTGGAAATATTCAGATGGACATGTCCAGGAGGTAATTAAAAATGTAGATGGGCCAGGCACAGTGGCTCATACCTGTAATCCTAGCACTTTGGTAGACCGAGGGGGGAAGATTGCTTGAGGCTAGGTGTTCAAGAGTAGCCTGAGCAAGAGCGAGACCCTGTCTCTACAAAAAACAGAAAAATTAGCCGGTCATGGTAGTTCCAGCTAGTAGGGAAGCTAGGGCAGGAGGATCGCTTGAGCCCAGGAGTTGGAGATTGCAGTGAGCTATGATGATGCCACTGTACCATATCCCAGGCAATAGAGCAAGACTGTCTCAAAAGAAAAGTAGAAGTGGAGTCTAAAGAAAAGGAAGGAGCTAGAGCAGTAGATTTAAGAATTGTCAGGTCCCTTCAGTAAAGCCCTGGGCTGTACCACATACCCCTAAGTGAATCTATGAAGCATTATGTAGAAAAAGAGGAGAAAATAGGCAAATCAAGGGTCTAATCTATGCCTTGCTCCTGATGCACTTCTTCCCATCTAATCCCATTTCTATTCTTTAATTCCTACCATCTTCTTAGCCTACCACCGTCCGTGGAGATCCCTCCATTCTTTCTCCTCTGAACTAGGATTTCTTAATCAACCCATTCTTTGGATAGGTAAATATGGGTTATCTCTTTCTATCTCAGGGACTGGCTTGTGTGTTTTCCAACTTCCACATCAGTCATCTTCTGGTACTCTGTGAGCTCCTCAGGGCCAGGGCTTAAGACTTGTTTATATCTCTGTAGCTCTATACTTAGCATAGGGTAGCACAGGTTTTGACCAGAGCAGATACTCAGCAAAGGTACAAAGAAAAGGAGGAAAAGATTGAAGGGAGGTTTTAGATGGAAAGGGGAGGGGGAGATATAATATAAAGTGCATGTAGAGGGCAAATAACAGCTCCTAGGGAGAAGAAGAGTATTGCACAGCCTCCACACAAACTTAGTTCTCAGAATATACCTCACACCCAGTAAACACAGCCAGGGCAGAATGACCATTGATGTTCCAGGAGTACAGATGTGGCTGGCTAAGTGAACAGAGATAACCCAGGGCAGCTGGTTGGGACGTAGGGAAACAAAGATGACAGAATTCCCAGCCTCAATGCTGCAAACAGAGTTTAACAAAATGAGGTCAACTGTTAACACCATCAGGCCTGAGATAGGGGAAGCAGGTATGAACAAATGAGATACTGACATGTTAACAGGGTCAAGCATAATGCTGAAAATTTTCAGGGTACCAGTTAGCATTGAGAAAATAAGCCTCCAATCATTATCACCTTCTGGAATCTCTTCTCCCAATGTATTCTCTCCACCTTCTCTACTGCCCACAATATTCTGGCAGATATAGATATTCATTCCTCACTGCCAAAATACGTGCTAGGAATTTCTTTTGTCATTTACACAGCCTTCTGTGCTGGGGTGTCTGTTTAACCTGTCAGAACTACTCCTGGGCCTTCTTCCCTTCTAGTTATAGCCCAACAAATGTTTTAGCTGCCTCAACTATCCACAGATACTCCATAGGCAGCAATTCTCCCCAAAACTAAGCTGGGCCAGATTCTTCTCCCAAATCCCCCAACTCCTATAGTCTGGAGAGGCCCAGCCTCCTTCTGTATAACTTCCAGCATATATCTCCTGGTACTCTCTCCTTGCTAGATCTTAAGCTATGTGCAGATGACAGATGAACAGAGCTGTCTCTGTCATCAGGGAGTTCCCAGTTTAAAGAGTAAAAGACAGAGAAACAAATTGTTATAAAGAAAACAGGCACTAAGGGCTATGGGTTCCTAGAGGAGAATAAGAGGAAAAAGTTGAGCATGCCCGAGAAAAGGCTGGAAAATCATCCTGGAGAAGGCTTGAAGGATGAGTTGGAGCATAATAGAAAGAAGAGAGAGGGTAAGGATACAGCTACAGAGACCAGAATAAGCTCTGCCAAAGAGGCAGCCACACCTGCTCACTGGGGACATTCCACTATTATCTGAGCCATTGAAAAAGGAAAGTAAGATATATTTTTTTTTCCTCTCTACAACTTTTCTCAATCCCAACAACTACTCTGCAGGCCTCTCTCTGCACCATTTTCAGTATTCTGGTTAAAAGCACAAAGGGTATACTAGCCCCTAGCCCATAAATTGAGGCATAGAGAACCTTAGGAATGTGCCCAAGGTCACAAAGCCACTAAGTGACAGAGCCAATTGGCTTTATTTCAAACCTGGAACTCTTTTTTTTTTCTTTTGAGACAGAGTGATCTCACTCTGTCTCTCTATGGCTTCATCACAGCTCACTGCAACCTTGAACTCCAGGGCTCAAGCAATCCTCCTACCTCAGCCTCCTGTAGTTGGGACTACAGATGTGAGCCACCACACTTGGCTAATTTTTCTTTTTTTTTTTTTTTGAGACAGAGTCTCGCTTTGTTGCCCAGGCTAGAGTGAGTGCCGTGGCGTCAGCCTAGCTCACAGCAACCTCAAACTCCTGGGCTCAAGCGATCCTCCTGCCTCAGCCTCCCGAGTAGCTGGGACTACAGGCATGCGCCACCATGCCCGGCTAATTCTTTCTATATATATTAGTTGGCCAATTAATTTCTTTCTATTTATAGTAGAGACGGGGTCTCGCTCTTGCTCAGGGTGGTTTCGAACTCCTGACCTTGAGCAATCCGCCCGCCTCGGCCTCCCAGAGTGCTAGGATTACAGGCGTGAGCCACCGCGCCCGGCCTAATTTTTCTTTTATTTGTAAGGATAAGGTCTCACTTTTGCTCAGGTTGGTCTTGGCCCCCTGGCCTCTAATGATCCTTCTGCCTTAGCCTCCCAGAGTGCTTAATATTACAGGTGTGAGCCACCACACT